AAAAAACTCCCCCTCTTTCCGAAATAAAGCCAAAAAAAAAAAAAAAAAAAAAAAGAGACACTGTCAGCTAATTAAGATCCAAATTTGTATTTGGAAACAAAATTGCTACTTAAACTGAATACAAACAGAGATTTATATATACTGTTCCCCAGAAGGAGTTTATACCTGATTCAGAAGTGTGCCAATAGGCTACAGTGACAGGAATCAGGAAGTGTAAATGAAACAGATGAAGGGGGGGGTGCAAAAATAAATCCAATTCTTTGACCTTTCATTTAAATCCAGCAGTCTTAAAAACTCAGGAACTTCTAACTGTGACAGTGTCCCTTTAAAGCATTAATACTGAAATTTGTTTCAACTGCAGTGTACTGTAGAGCTAGCAGTATAGTTGTATGTTCAGCAAAGTCTCTACTGCTACAAGATTGATGGCGTTTCTTTACTGTGGCAAGTATAGCTGATTACAATATGATTTTAAAAGGCAATAAAATAAATAAAACAATATTAATGGCTAAGCTTAACCATTTTTTTCCTTCACCTGATACTGAATAAAATTATGCCAACCACAAAAGGTAACTGCTAGCGGTTTTGTCTCATCTATTCTCTTTAACCGTGCAGCGTAATAGGGCAGAGAAACTTCACCGGGCAGGCTTATGGCATTTGCCGCGCTTTGGCTTCCTGCAGTCACTGCTCCGGCTCCACCCGTCCGCTGAACAATACAGCTCTTCGCTCAAAACTTTACGCAAGCGAAGCAAATGAGAAAGACTAAGCCTGCGTTTCAGCAAACCGCTTAGCTGAGAGTAAACAAAAAGCAACGGGATTTGATGCTTTTCTATTCAAGTCCTCACATAGAAGGGAGAAAGAGCGACTGACAACTTCAGCGCAGGCAAGAGCTGCCGTTCTCTCTCCTGCAAGCAGTGTATAATGTAGTCTTGTTCTGCAAATGTGGTTTTGTCACCACATTCACCTGTGCCAACCACGCATGCCTGCTGCAAACAGGCAGAAACCAGCATTACTGATGCAGTAAGTTTTAACATAGCTGTGATACAGGGCGGTTGAAAAATACAATTAAAAATAAAAATGCATCTGCAGGCTTTTGCTGCAGACTCTAAACAGCTCCCTGTCCTGCAATGCCAATAAAAAAAAAAGAAATAAATATGGGTCCTTAGCATATATTTCCCCATTTAACTTGTCATCGTGACTGCCCAAGATACAGAAGACTGGTAAACCAAGAAATAATACTACTAATAATTTAAAAAACAGATTGTCTTACTTGGTCGTTGAAGCGCCTTGATCTTCGACTGCTTTGTCGCATGGATCAGTGGTCGGATCTTTAAAGAAGGATAACGGCGCCCCAGGGCTTGAGAAGCTTCAAAGAACAAAGATTGCTGAAATTAGCAGACTGAATTTTGGTGGCTTTAATAATAAAAATCAGTACATGGTATAACACCACCGAATAATTTGAGCTCGAGCAGCTGATGCGTTATCTCAAGACTTGTACTGAAACAGCTAAGCTCCTTCTGGTCACCTCAGGCTTACATCGCACATTCCTCCCCCAGGAAGAGTCCCAAGAAAATATAAACACGTTTTAAAAGATAACGCTGTCATTATTAGACTAAATCCCAAGAAGAAAGCGTTAAGCTTTTGGACTGCATACGCTGCTGGATGGAAACTTCTCTTGGGACGGCTCTGACCTGAGCTCGGGGCATTTGGCCCCGAAAAAGTCACTTTGTAGGCTCGGTGCCTGCCCTGCCTGCCATCGCACCCCGAGGTCCCCAGGAGGTTATTGTACGCTTGCAGGAATTTTGTCTAGTTAGGAGAGGAAAAAAAACCCTGAAGTAGCAAACTAGATTAATTTCTAGAAATGCAGCGTGAGCGGCTCCACGTACAAAAGGTGCCCTGGTTATTATCCAAGCCAATTAAAAACCTGCTGTTCTTGTAAAGCGGAGCTGCCACGCCACGCACGGTAATTCCAGCTTCTCAAGCCTTAAAAGCCTTTCAAGTTTGAAGCACGCGGGAAGACAGGCGTGACGAACCGTAACTACACCTTTGGCAACAGCTTCGCCCAAGCGCGAGACTCGACAGGCGCGCGTCGCGAACCACCGCACGGAGGAACCCCGGCAGCTCCGCGGGTCCCTCAACGAGTGACGTTACGTGCCCCACGTGAAATTCGTCCCCCACGAATCGAGTCGTGCTACCTGTAGACAGGCTGGAGAAGATTCCCAGGGCGTGCGTATCGTCGACCCACTGGATTTTGAAACCACTCTCGCTAATGTGAAAAGAGAATAGAATAATATTCATTAATAAAAAAAAAAAAAAAAAAAAAAAAAAAACACCACACAATAAAACCCCTCAGCCACCTCAGGTTACCAAGAGTATTTGGTATTTTTATGTGGACAGCTGGTGCTTTTCAAAGCATTATACCCACATTATACCCATTTTACATGAGGGGAAGGAAGGGAAGGAAAAGAAGCCCATGAGATGTGCCCCTTGCAAGGCCACAACGTACGATTACCCCATCAGCTGCCCCCAAGAACTCGCCCTTTCCTCTGAAGAAACCCTTGGCTAAAATCAACCTCAATTTCAGGGACTGTCTTGTAAGACAAAAATATTATTTGTCATTTGCGCAGCGCTTTACAAACACTACCCGTTTGCTCAGACGTCTACAAGAAAAAGCAAGCGATTTATAGAAGTGGTTTACAAAGCTTAGGGTGAAGAGACCGATGTGAAAAATCTAATAAATCGTCAGTGGAAAACTGTGCGTTTGGGAGCAGGGAGTTCAAAGCTTTTCCTGCAGCACAGGAAATACAAATACAATCGACTGCTCAGATTAGATCCGGCAATTTTCAGCTCGGTTTCACTCTCACAGCCAGTGGAAAAAATACATTAGAGGAAACACACACAATAGACAGTAGCTTATTAAAAATGTAAATCATGTTTTTTATAATTTAAGCGTTCACATCTAATCCACCACGTATATCAAGAGAGGAGGAGGACGGCGGGAGGAAAACAGGGAGAGGTGCCTGCAGACGCCGTGTCTGCACTCTCCGGCAGCGGCGACGCCGTAATTCCGAGCTGCACCGAGCGCCGTTTAGCACTAACGCAGGGCTGAACTTTGTTCTGGTCCTGCTACCAATCTAACGCCGCTCCCTTAGGCGCAAGGCTCTGCTCCCCGTATTGACACAATAAATCTTCTCTCCAGCAGCAGGATTGAGCCCTTTTTTCTTGCAAAGACTTACGTGAGCACATAATTTCACTCGGGCACCGGGACGCAATAACACAGGAGCTCCTAGAGAGCACCTAAAGACTCTCACTGAAGGCAGAGACGCAGGAATAAGCCTGCACGTGGATAACTGGGTGTAGGACAGAGCCCTGAAGAACAGCTCGTGTTTTAAATCAGGCATAAACTGCAGGAAAGCGTCCTTTAAGGCACAGAAAGAGTCTAAGACAGAAGGGCACGAAGGCGAAGCTAAAATTCAAGATCCCTCAGATTTGGTTGTGCATTCAAGTCTGCGTACCGCTGCCTTCGCGCCCCGATGTGCGCAGGCTCTCGGGGAGGTACTCACTGGAAATCCGAGAACGCTTCCAACAGGTCCTCCGTTTTCAGCGACGGGGCGAAGTCATAGATTTCGGTTACGTGGCCAAAATCCCCCTCGCTGAGCTGTGCATCTCCATAGCTGGAATAATCCAAGCTGATCTTCTCAATGCTTATGTCCTTGACGGTTAAATAACCCACGCTCTGAGAATACAAGAAAAAAAAAAAAAAAAAAATTAAAAAAAAAAACCAAATCAGACGAGGTTTCACTCCAAAGAGCGATCCTCCAGGGCCCCACCTCGGTCCCTGCAAACCAATTCTGCGGCCGCGCTCCCGCCAACAG